AAATAATCGTCGTCGATACCCAGGAACGCACTGCACATATGGGGCGTGGAGGGGAAGACGGATCTCCAGAGCATGCGACAAACTTGTGGCGGAGTCCTCGCATCTGTATCTCTTTCGTTGCGTGTCCCTGAGCCCCTTGAGTTTAGTTCCCTACCTAGGCTCTGCCTAGAAGGGTTCTTACCCTGTGTGCTTAAAAGGCTGGGCAATGGAAACCGCCCCGGGCGGTTCCCCCGGCATCCGCCCCGCGATTCCCCCAGTTACGTCCCCTTAGTTTGACGTTGCTTATCTCGTCTTAGTTTAGCTTAGCTTCATCTCAGCTCAGGTTTATCTTAGCTTAGCTTACCTTAATATTAGCTTCGCTGAGCTTTAGCATAGCCTAGCATAGCATAGCATAGCGTAGCATAGCATAGCGCAGCACAACATATCGTAGCATAGCCCAGCATAGCATAGCATAGCATAGCGCAGCATAGTATAGTATAGCATAGCATAGCATAGCATAACATAGCATAGCGCAGCACAGCACAGCACAGCACAGCATAGCACAGCGCAGTAGAGCATAGCATAGCATAGCAGAGCATAGCACAGCAAAGCGCAGCATAGCATGGCATAGCACAGCATAGCATGGCATAGCATAGCATAGCATAGCAACTAATACTGCTTTCCTAGGGGCTCCAACTTCTAGGTAGGGTCGCACTGGGGTCATTTCTTCTTCCTCACCAGGTGCGGGGTGCGCACAGCTTGGCCGGTGGTCGCTTTGCCCTGGGTGCCGATGAGCACCCCGGCAGCGCGCCGCCCAGCCTCTCGCTGGGGCCACCGAGGAAGAGGCCGCGGGTGCCGAGCGGCCACGGCGGGGCCGCGAAGGCGGCGGGCGAGGAGCGGCCCGTGCGGCCCAGGGACGTGATCGCGGCGCTGGAGGATCATCACGAGGGGAAAAAGCACACAGACACAGTTCATCGTCGATCCCCAGGAAAAGATGGGAAAATACGGGACAATGTGGGGAATCCTTTTATTCGTGTGCGTGTTTATTTGTGTGTCCCAGGGCCCCTGCAGATCAGAGGGTGACTCAATGCTTCGAAGGAGAAGGGCAGGCATGGCAGCAAGGCCTCGACGGCCCGCGCTGATGCCTTGGATCTGCGCTGGGCCCCCCTGGCGGCGCCTCCCGCGCCGCCCCCTGGCGCGCTCCAGCGCGGATCCAAGCAATCCGTGCGGAGCTCCGGACGTTTATGTTTATGCCGTGTCTTGTTCCTCTCTCTCTCTCTATTTTTGTTTGTTCTTCTCTCTCTCTCTCTCTCTCCCCTCTCTCTCTCTCTCTCTCCCTCGCCCGGGTGGCTTGGACGCGCGTGCGCACTGCCTCGGCCTCGACGCGACGCAAAAAGTGCTTCGTTCCTCTAGTCTGGGGGTGCAGTTGCCCCGCATAGTAGGGCTAAGCAACCTTCCCAAGGCTACCCTCGAAGGACTTCGAAGAGCGGGCTTCCGAGGCCCCTGCGCCCCTCCTCCTCCTCCTCCTCCTCCTCCTCCTCCTCCTCCTCCTCCTCCTCCCTCCTCCTCCTCCTCCTCCTCCCTCTCCCTCCTCCCTCCTCCTCCTCCCTCCCTCCTCCTCTCCTCTCCTCCTCCTCTCCCCTCCTCCTCCCCTCCTCCTCTCCTCCTCCTCCTCCTCCTCCTCCTCCTCCTCCTCCTCGAACCCCGCAGATCCTCCTCCTCGCACCCCTCTCGCGCACCCTCCCGGTGCGGGCCGCCCGTGCTGGCGCGTGGGCCCCTGCGCCCTCGGCCGCCCCGCCGTGCCAGGCGGTGACCACCGGGGCCCGGCCTCTCCTCGGCGCTCTCCCTCCGGCGGCCCGTCGGGCGGGGGCCGGCTCGGGCCGACGGGCCCCTCGGCCGCCGGAGGGAGGCTCCGTGCGGCTCCCTCCTCCGGCCGCTCCGCGTGCGCCTCCTGCGCCGGCTGCTCCGCCTCACGCTGCTGCTCCTCCTCCCCCTCCTCCTGCGCCTCCTGCTCCTGCGCCTCCTCCCCCTCCTCCTCCCCCTCCTCCTCCTCCTGCTCCTCCTCCTCCCTCTCCTCCTCCTGCGCCTCCTGCGCCTCCTGCTCCTGCTCCTCCTCCTCCTCCTGCGCCTCCTGCTCCTCCTCGTCCTGCTCCTGCTCCTCCCCCTCCTCCTGCGCCTCCTCCTCCTGCGCCTCCTGCTCCTGCTCCTGCTCCCGCTCCTGCTCCTGCTCCTGCTCCTCCCCCTCCTCCTGCGCCTCCTCCTCCTGCTCCTCCTCCCGCTCCTGCTCCTGCTATCCGTAACGGTCTCGCCCATTGCCGCCAGCCCCCCCCCCCCGTCTCTTTCAGAATGAGGGATTCCAGACGCAATGACATCACTTCACGCGAAAGCCAATATCGTACGTTATGTTTTGCGCCGCATTCTGACGGCTCGCACTGCGAACTTGCTGACAATCGTGGCTTCAGGACGCGAGCATCCCATTATTATCATACCTATATGACCACCCTTCGGGTGATAAGGAGCTTGTGGGGGGGGAGAGGGGGGAACCAACATCTGGCTCAATCGATCTCATTATCGATCTCACTCAACGGGACATCTCAGTATCGATCTCAATATCGATCTCACTCAACGGGACACCACGGCACACCACGGGACACCACGGGACTCCGCGGGACACCCGTCGATCTCACTATCGGTGTCACCATCGATCTCACTATCGATCTCACTCAACGGGACACCATATGACACCACGGGACACCTCGGGACACCACGTCGATCTCACTATTGGTGTCACTATCGATCTCACTCAACGGGACACCACGGGACACCTGTCGATCCCTTTATCGATCTCACTATCGATCTCACTTTTTGGGACACCACGAGACACCTCGGGGCACCACATCGATCTCAGTGTCGATCTCAGTATCGATCTCATTATCGATCTCACTCAACGGGACGCCACGGGACACCACGGGACACCACGGGACACCTGTCGATCTCACTATCGATTCCACTTGTTGGGACACCACGGGACACCTCGGGGCACCACATCGATCTCAGTATCGATCTCACTATTGGGCTCACTATCGATCTCACTATCGATCTCACTTAATGGGATACCACGGGACACCACGGGACACCGCGGGACACCGCAAGCCACCGCCAGACGGACGGACGGACGGGCGGGCGGGGGAGAATCATTTGTCTTGACTTCGCCCTAGAGGCGGCAGACACCGCGGGACACCGCTAGGGCCACCGCTAGGGCCACCGCCGGACGGACGGACGGACGGACGGGGGAGAATCATTTGTCTTGATTTCGCCCTAGCAGCGGCGGACACCACGGGACACCACGGGACACCGCGGGACACCGCTAGGGCCACCGCCAGACGGACGGACGGACGGGGGAGAATCATTTGTTTTGAATTCGCCCCAGCAACGGCGGACACCACGGGACACCACGGGACACCGCGGGACACCGCTGGGGCCACCGCCGGACGGACGGACGGACGGACGGACGGACGGACGGACGGGGGAGCAACATTTGTCTTGACTTCCCCCTAGCAACGGCGGGTTCATTCCCTTTGCGCGCCCACGCAGCTTCGCCTCGCCCGCACGCACGACACGAACGAAACGAAACGATTTCCCGGTTGGGGGTCTCGGGTCCATTGCGATCTCACCCCCCAACCTCCAACCTTCTGGTGTGATCTCGCTCTGCATTATTTCGACCGGCCGTGCTGGAGTGTGCTGGGATGTGTCGGTGTAATGCCGCGGTGTGCTGGTATCCGTGTGCTGGGATCGGTGTGCTGAAATGTGTCGGGCGTGCCTGGATGTGCGCTGGAGGCTGGGATGCGTGCTGCGATGTGCTGAAAATGCGCGCTGGCCGTGGCTCCCCTGGGTGTGCTGGGATGTGTGCTGGCATGTGTCGCCCTCCGCTGCCCGACCGAGGCCCCCTCCGATCCCCCCCCCCCCGCCCCCCGCTCCCCCCTCCATGATTCCAGCCGACCGCGTCCCCCCTCCCCTGCGCGACCGTGCCCCCCCCGTTCCCCCCCCCTGCCTCTCTGTTCCGGCCGACGGTGCCTCCCCTCCTCCCCCGCGCGACCCCCCCTCTCCCCCCTTGCTTCCGACCCTCCTTGCTCCTCCGCGCTGCCCGGTCGCGGCCCCCCGCTCCCCCCCCCCCACACCGCCCCCTTTCTTTTTATGCCGACCGGCCGCGCCCCTCCGCCCTCCCCCCGCGGCCCCCTCCCCATTCTGCGGGTCCGCTCACGGCCTCCACCAGCTCAGCACTCCGACCTCCGGCCGCCATTTGCCTTCCATCCTCCAGCTCTTTCAGTTTCACCTCCACCTGCGGACCACCAGCCTCCACCGTTTCAGCGCCCCGACGCGTCCAGCCTCAAACAGCAGCGTTTCCACCTCCACCTCCACCTGCCGACTTTCAGCTCCCACAGCCCCAGCATTCCAACCTCCGACCTCCACCATCCGACCTTCAACCTCCACCTCCACCCGCATGCGTCTTTCCACCTCTACCACCACATGCCGCCACCACATGCCGACCTTCGACCTCCATCAGCTCAACACTCCGACCGCCAGCCTCCAGCATCCGACCTCCCACCAACGCCACCACCGCCTCAGCACCTCCAACCTTCAGCATCACAGCAGCTCGACATTCAACATCCAGCCTCCGACCTCCCACTTCCATTTGCGGTCGACATTCCGCTTTCACCTCTGCCCGTCGACCTCCAGCCTCCACCAGCTCAGCATTCCGACCTCCAGCCGCCAGAGCCCGACTTTCCACCGCCAGCATTTCCGCGTACCGACCTCCAGCCTACCACCTCCAGCATTCGACCTCCGCCCACCGACCCCCAGCCCCACCTTCCTGACCTCCATTGTCGGAAACTGGAGCATATACATGCCAAGTGGCGGGACGTTTTTCATTCGAGGGTCGGGGACGACGTCGGGGTGGTCTGGTGTATACTTTTTCCCCGCTTTCGCGGGGAAACAGCGAACCATGTATACACCAGGATCCCGCATACACCAGGATCCGCGTTCCTGCGCGAACTTCAGCGCAGGGTCGGAAAGAGCGTCGGTGTACAGAGTTCGTTTCCCTATACTGTCCATCTTCCAACGCGCAGCGACCATCAGCTGCCGACCGACACTTTAGCGGCCCGGGGCGAGGAGCGCAGGAGGGGGACGAGGATATCACAATGCTGTTGATGGTGACGTCCCGATCAGCCTGTGGCGAACACAAACAGAAGGAGAACGACTCCAGCCAAATGACTGCCCATAGCAGCGCAGAGCCGGTTTCGCCAGCATCTCCGAAATTATTCACCGTCATCCACAAACAGGCGCGAAGTTTGACGAGGCACGATTCTATCGCTATACTTCTACATGAATTGGGTGACGTTGAGTGGGGTAGATTTGCTATAAACGAAACCTGGCGGACTGAGCCCCATGAGATGTGGACTACAAAAAAAAACAACCACTTATTTGCAGCATCCGGACACGCCGACGCATCACGAGGAGTAGGATTTCTTGTTCACTGGCGACACGCCCAACGCGTGAAGTGAATCTCACCCATTAACGAGCGCATAGCCTACATTGACCCTGACCTCCCCGAGCAGTTTCTGAGAATCGTCACGGCGTATTTTCCTGACTCGGGCTATGCAGACTCTCACATCCAGCACATGTATGACCAGCTGACAGCATTACACACTGACGCCGCCCGAGAAAAACGAACGTATATTGTCACGGGGGACTTCAATGCACAAATGGGCAGGCATCGGTTACACGACGACGACGACGACGACCGACCAGGGAGTAAGAGTAGGAGAGACACTGTGGGCAAATTCGGGATGGGCATATGCAACCCACGTGGAACATGGCTGCGGGCTTGGTCCAACCGGCAACAGCTCATCATCGCGAATCCATTCTCCCA